TGTGCATGGGATGCAATGAAGGTATACACAAGTACTTGTGCATCAAGTATTTCCATAGACAATCTTTTATACACATATTAGGAAACACCCGGAGATGTCATAAAAATCTTTCTCCGATTTCCTGATTTCACGTTCAGTCAGTTTTCTCTCTCTCTCTCTCTCTCTCTCTCTCTCTCTCTCTCTCACACACACACACACTCGGACACCCGAACCACACACGCACAAACTCTATCTATCTTTATACATAAATTACAAGTGAAAACTTGCTAACTTTTTTCTTCATCTTATAATACACAAGAGTACATATGTTACATAAACAAACAATAGCTGAATTCTCGGTCCAACATCTAACCATCTGACATCACACACTCTGCCCCATCTTTTATCTTTTCTTTTTCATTTTTTTTCTTCAGGAAGGGGAGTTATCGGAAACTTGGCTACTCTCAGATATATATATATAAAAAAAAAGGAGGAATCTGCCAATGCAGATGTATGCACACAGTTCCTATTATGGTTTTACACAGAATTTCAGAACAGGCCCAAGTTTTACTCTGCTGCTCTTAAACTGGGTATTTACTCAAGCGGGGGAATACCAGTTATATTATGCTAAAAAATGAAAGTTATAGACAGTTACAGAGAACACATTTCATGGCTTACATACTGCCATTTGCATACATTTTATAAAGATATTTATATACTTTTTATAGTCTGTAACCACGAGTCCTATGTATAAAGTTTGAGATTTTTGAAGTCCCCGTCTTATAAAAAGTCTTATAAAGAGTTACGATTGATCAGAATCACTCATAAGTCCTCCAATCAATTGCAAGTTTGCAGTCTCATATCTTTCCGTACATAATTGTGATTGATATTGATCGCAAATATAAAGTTGTGATTGATATCGACTCTTTATAAGACGGGTCCCAGACCTAGATTTTGGGTGATCACATATCCCGGCTGCCGGTTTATATCGAGCCCATGCAAGATTCAGCTCATTTATCTTCAGTTCACTTTATGCCATGGTTTAAATAGAAAGAGTACATGCACCTGCTACAAAATCCGCGTTTCAAAGCTAGTATACACTACATACTGCCTCACATATTGTACTGTTGAAAGGAACAAAGAAAATGATGAAAATAAAAAAAGGCTAGTACCAACTGTGTCAAATTTACCTACGTGTCCTGAGAATTTTTAGAGTATCACAAAACAGTACCAACTTCTCTTACAAAGAATCGAAAGCTTATCAAAGAACGAGAAATTCAGAGCAGTTCTTTTGGTTTATCGGAGTTGAATGGTATAACTTGGACAGGCAGGCCTGGCTTTACGATGCAGACAAAGAATAGGAGATTTAATTTTCTTCTCACAAAAGGTATGGCTACTCAAGTATCACTATTGATGTGATAACATGCAAAGACAAACTTACAAAATAATACAAGGACCAATTTAAACTTTTCCTGAGAAATAAGTGTACTGCATACGTTGGAAAAGCAAAATCTAATGTTTCCTTCCCAAGTGAAAACAAATAAATGAATAAATGACAACCGAAAATAAATATGGCTTGGGTAATTTTCCAGGACTGACATAGCCTCCTTTCACGCAGACAAATTGTGAGGTTAAAGAGGTTTGAAAGAGAGCCCTAGAGAAGGAAATATAAATCAATTAAGGTGAAAATGCAACAGTAGTCATGGTCAATGATTTGATATTTTGGCGCCAGTCGATTTTTGCACTCTCGCGAGCAATGCCTCCTGTTCATCCAAGCGTGAACACATACCACACAAAAATGATACTTAATGATTTAGGATAAAACAGTCTTTCATAAGATGTATAATAATTTACTGTTCATAGATGATTTTAGAAATAATGAGCAATTTTCTAGGTGTAAACTGTTTTTGACTCACACAGTAGTCTTAAAGGGAGACATTGGTAGCAACATAAATTTCAATGAAAATCCATGTTTCACTGCACACTCCATATGCACACTAGTACAAACTATGATTCCTTCCAATAGGTCACATGACCAAACTATGATACCTTCCAGTAGGTCACATGACACCTTCAGTAGGTCACATGACATTGCATGGACATACATGTATATAGTCACAGAAGTAGTACGATACAGTAATAGTAGCAGATGGAACCGAATGAAACTTATACGATTTCACATAGGATGGATAAAGAGTACGAAAAGTGATACATGGGCCGGATATTTGTCGTAGTTTGTTCTTGATTTCCCTGCATCTGAGTGTGAACATCTCTAAGTCATGGCTACCTTGCTTCACACGCTATGTCTAGCATGCCATGCTCTCATCTTGGAGATGTTCATATGAGGCAAAATACATGTTTTATTATAATTCTATTTCAATTATCACATGTAAGGACTTAAAGAGTACCAATCACAAACAAAATATTTTGTTCTGTACGTTAGCGCTTCCATGTCGCTACAATATATATTTTGTTAAAGACCTATGAAAATTACTGCTGTAAAGAGTTATAATTGATATAAAGGTGACTTGTGGGTAGACTAGTCGATACACCTGTAAATATGGCGTAAATATTTACTCCTGAATGATATAAATGCCTATAAACCTAAACAACAACAACAACCCACTCGCATGAAGTAGTTTGAATTGGGTTCCATGTGCAGGTTTTTTATTTTTATTCTTTCTTTTCTTCAGCCTTTGGCCAATAGAATGCAGGTTAAAAGTTTTTGAGCTTTATTTCATACATATTCCTAGCCGTACACAATTTTATTTTCATATGTGCTTGGTACTCTTTAAATCCTGACCTGGTCCAAGATGGTAATTAATCTCATCAATATTTTAATTAAGGAGGTAATTATTTGCTTTTACAGCCCCCTAGAACATTAAATATCTTGTTTTTTTATCATTAAAATATGAGAAATCAGGCAGAAAGTTTTGTTGTTCTTTGCAAAAACTATACTTTTTATAACTGCGGTACATAAACCACTGTGTTGTATTCATTTCATTTAACACTAAATAGCCTTATAAATAAAATCAATGATTTGTTAACCTTCCAGTCTGCTGCCAGCTATAGTTCCAAGTAATCACCCATCATGCATCATTGAAATAAAACTGATCCACAACACTTGGAAGGATTGTCAAAGCAATAAATACATCGATTCTAAACAATGCTTGACAAAGTAAGTAATACCTAATACTGAGTAATACATTATACCTAGCGAAGACCGATCAGACGGATTTCTCTCACACTAAGGGGAACGGAAACACGTCTTCAGGTACTGATCCTTTTTTTCGTTTCCTCAATGTACCAATCCCATGTTCATACCTAACGGAGCACAATAATTTATCGGGGATCAAATGGAAGAAAGTGAACAAAGTTGAGTTGTATCATTTTTCGTACAATGTTTAACAAACAGCCAAGTACTGACCATTCTACTTCAGAGCAGTATAAACTAGAACGACTCTTACGTCACTCTAAAACCCGAGGAGCTCATCGACGATGTCGTAGCCATGGAAACAGTATCAGTCTGTAAGCTGTCTATCCAGGTGTTCATGTTAGTTATCAGAGGTCCCGATGGAATGTGTTTCAAAATCACAACAATCAGTATAAAGGCTCGTTCAGATAAGACCAGGTAAACCGCCGCAGAAGAGCCACCGCGTTTTTAAAACGTTTTTTAAGCGTGTAAATGAATGGCAACTGCGATACAACTTCAGATACAGAAATATGACGCATATCACACATTACATCATCAACGAAAACCCACCACGGTTTTGACAAGTCTTATCTGAACAAGGCTTACCATAACTTTAAAATTCATAATAAATTGAGATTAACAATAACATGAGAGCAAACTTATGACAATTATTATATGATACAATAACAGAATATTTGGTGAAGAGTAATTGAACTTTCTTACATTAGTTTTGGTCCTCCATATCTGTTTTCTACACATCACATGTATTCATTAACGATTACTTCATCAATCTCACAACCAAGGCAGCTTGCCTGTTTTTGCCTCTCTTGACCCAGGGCTAGAGTGATGTGAATTCCTTTTTTAAAAAAAACTTCCATACTGTTGTTGACATGAATTTTTGTTATCAGACCTGTTTGAAACACAAGGACCACTGTTGCACAAAAATTACCATTGATGGTAAGTTTGGTAACTACCATGGAAATCTTGATTTTGATTGGCTGTTGAGCCCTGTTACCATGGTAGTTGCCATTGATAGCAAAGTTACTATCAATGGTAAGTTTTGTGCAACGGGGCCCAGGTCTGCATTACAAGAATGCATTTTCTAGGTGTAGATTACACACAATTTGACCACCAGCAGTACAGGTGTGCTGCAATTCCATCATCAATACTCACTTCATTCATATTTTTGATTTCCATATTTCATATTAAATATTTATAAAGTAGAGACAGTAAAACCCCCTTTCAAGATATATTTCTGAATATCATCTCGCTTTCAGGTTTCTCTGAAGTTGAAAGACCTTATCCTGATCAAAATTGCTATGAAAAGTATTACAGTCAAACCTGTCTATAGTGACCACACAAGGGAAACACAAAAAGTGGCCTTTGTAGACAGGTGGTCTTTGTAGATAGGTTCCTTTAGTACATGATTCAATGAGAAACCATTTTGAAGGGAAACAACAAATGTGGTCTTTGTAGACAGGTGGTCTTTGTAGATAGGTTCCTTTAGTACATGATTCAATGAGAAACCATTTTGAAGGGAAACAACAAATGTGGTCTTTGTAGACAGGTGGTCACTAAAGCAGGTTTGACTGTATTTTGAATCAAGTCATGGTGCTACGGTATGTTAGGTGTCACATGCGTGTGGTTTAAATACTTGACTGGAGATGCAACAGTTTTGATTTCAAGCCATGGTCAGGCACAAATATTAGTTTAGATTAGATTGGATTAGATTAGATTTGATTAGATAAAGAAAAGACTTGGAAAGATTTTCAATTGATTGTCCAGAAATTCTTAAGTGTACAATAATAACATCAAGAATCAATAAATCTTAATGTGCTTCATAACATTTATTTAAAAAAAGATTGATTAAGGATAATTAACTGATTAAAAGTTGGATAAAAAAAATGAATTACAGCTATTCATGAAATATGAATTCCAATGAATTCTGACAAAAAATGGGCTTGGATTTTGCTCTCTCTCGTGAGACAGTATTTATCTACATAGGTACTGTTGTAAATTTAAACCCATTCTGCTGATTATTCACAGAACAAAAAATAAACACATAAAATACTGAGATGTTTAGAAACTTCATGGTAATCCGAGTAATAAACATTGCCTCACACTCATATTGTTTTAACTATGCGATCATTGATCTTTCACAAAACTGCGTTAGTACTTTAAATGAAGAAGGTAAAAATACTGGCATCTATTCCTCATGCAAAGCACTCCAGTTGGTTGGAGATATTTCATTTATCAGGGTGGTGGGGGCCGGCATCGCCTTAGGGTTTGAAAGGTCATCGTGTAATGTGGTATCGTTACATGGATAACCCAGGGGCTACCCATCTGATCAAAAGGTACTGTAATGGTACCACCAAGGTACTACTCATCTGATCAACAGGGGCTCTAATGGTACCACCAAGGTGCTACTCATCTGATCAAGAGGTACTGTAATGGTACCACCTATGAAGCTACTCATCTGATCAAAAGGGGCTGTAATGGTTCCACCCGGGTTCTACTCATCTGATCAAGAGGGGCTGTAAGGGTACCACCAAAGAGCTATCCATCTGATCAGGAGGCTCTGTAATGGTATCACCCAGGGGCTACTCATCTGATCAAGAGGTACTGTAATGGTACCACCCAGGGTCTATTCATCTGATCAACAGGGGCTCTAATGGTACCACCAAGGTGCTACTCATCTGATCAACAGGGGCTCTAATGGTACCACCAAGGTGCTTCTCATCTGATCAAGAGGTACTGTAATGGTACCACCTATGAAGCTACTCATCTGATCAAAAGGGGCTGTAATGGTTCCACCCGGGTTCTACTCATCTGATCAAGAGGGGCTGTAAGGGTACCACCAAAGAGCTATCCATCTGATCAGGAGGCTCTATAATGGTATCACCCAGGGGCTACTCATCTGATCAAGAGGTACTGTAATGGTACCACCCAGGGTCTATTCATCTGATCAAGAGGGGCTGTAATGGTACCATCAAAGTGCTTCTCATCTGATCAAGAGGTGCTGTAATGGTACCACCAAGGGGCTACTCATCTGATCAAAAGGGGCGCTATTGGTACCACCTAGGGGCTACTCATCTGATCAAGAGGGGCTGTAATGGTACCACCTAGGGGCTACTCATCTGAATGAGAGGTACTGTAATGGTACCACTGAGGAACTACTCATCTGATCAAGACAGGCTTGTTAAGATGGGGAAAACCAAGGATCCTAACATCCCTCAGAGATGCACAATCTTAGAGTTCATTTGCCATGTCTCTTCAAAGTACAAGCACCCTGTCCACTATTACAAAGTCTTTCTTGTGTCCTCTTTCCCTAGGTACGGTAATCAGTCTATCAAGAACAATAATATACGATCCTCCTCTCTCCGCTTCTATCTATACATGGAATATTTCTTTGTACTGATAGTTAATAATCTGCCGCCGCCGAACAGTTCCGCTATCATACGACTGAAGACTCACTGGTTTCATATATACAATCTTCATCTCCTGAGTCTGTCCCATCATCAAGGTCTTGATCATCTAGTAAATCATTCTCACTCTGCGAAGGACTAAGGTTGCCTTCGCTGGGCTCCGGTGTGGGTGGTACCTGGTCCTCACGACCTCTTGCAAAGAACAGCTTCACCTGAAAACAACATCATAGACAGTTCATTACTATTTCTTTCTTTAGATGCTAGTTATAAGTATAAGTTTGCATGGTGATGTAGATATACAGTAGGCTTGCGGCTGCACCATGTGAGAGAGGGGGAGGATAGTCAACCTGTTTGAAACGTTGATCCACTCCTACCTCCCTTCCTCTCCAACCGAGGCTATAGTTCTCCTTAGAACTATAAGCTAAGAAAGATAACCAACAGTCTTTTTCAAGACTACACCAACAGTCCTTTTCAGGATTACCGGTACACACCCTCAAGAAAGATTACTGAGAGTCCTTTTCAGGACTCTCCGATCCTCTCCCTCTCTCACACGGTGCAACCGCAAGCCTACTGTATATCTTTCTTTCTTTCCTTTTTTGGTAGAAACCTGACCCCCCGTCTTATAAAAAAAAGTTGTGATTGATGACAGCTAATTGCAATTGATATCAACTGCATCTCATATGTCTTAAGTGCAGAGTTTCGATTGTTATTGATTGCAAATTATTTGCAATCAATCGCAACCCTTTTATAAGACAGCGCTCAAATGTGATATTTGCAACATATCTATCACAAATTACTCAGCATAAAAAGTTTTGCATCACATGCATCTATAAAGTAAATTATTCTGTAGTATATAAATCGTCTTACGATCCTGTGTATAAATGCATATATTGTATTTTATATAATACTGGTGTGAAACTGTCCAATAGAAAGAACACAAATGAGCTAATGGAAAGGTTGGGTCTGGAAGAAAATGTGGTGGAAGTGGTAAAGAAAATTGAATTGAGATGGGTGGGTCATGTGTTGAGAAGGGTTTTTGCATTATATTTTGATCAAGAATGCCAGGAATTACATGTTATACTAGAGCAAAAAGAGCAACAAAAAAATCAGAAAAATTTAGTCTACTTCTAATGCAGTACATTATGCCGTTCTCAAATTAGAGCAATTTAGTTGAAACTAATCATTAAAGTCTCTAAATTGGCAATGCAGAGGAAAAATTTTAATCACTAATTTTGTTAACAAATTGGCAACTTTCTGTTAAATTTTGCAATTTTCTTTCACATTGGTTCATATAATTATCACTTTCCTTTCTTTCAAACTATAAAAGAATGAGGAAGAAAACTGATTAATTTAGAAAACAAAACCCCAAAACCGGAACTGCTTTGTGTTAAAGCCCCTCTGCACTAGTTTGACCAGGAGGATTAGACCTCCCTGTACGGTCACTGAGAGATGAATATCTCATCAAATCAGCTTTCAATTAACATAATAAATAGGGGACCATGGGGGACCGATGGTCACCGATTAGGCATTGCTTGCTATATAGAGGGCGCAAGTAGCTACAAGTAGTGCAGTCCCACTTTAAAAGGAGACAAAAATATTTGTGTTGGCATATCGTACCTTAAGATTTGGAGAGAAGACCTTGTTTGTCTTGTCCTTGTTGGCCTTGTCTATCTCGTCTTTGTGCAGCTCCAAGACAAACTCCTCCCCTCCGTTCAGCATCTCATCCTCGGCGAAGGGAGCTCTCGCTTGGTCGGGTGAGGGACAGGAGACCGTGCTGGTGGGCCTGGAGTGAGATCGCGCCTGACCGAAGTAGTCCTTGTCGGGTTGGATTGGGTGCACAATGAAGTACGTGTTGAACCACATGTGGAACATCAGCCGTTTATCCTGTAAGATCGTATCAAAAAGAAGAAGAATCAAACTCTGCTAGAACACTCTAGACTTGCAAGCTAAAACAAGCTTTTGACAGGAGTTCCTTTTTCCATTTGTTTAATTATCACAGTTTACTTATCACCGGTGTTTTGGCTCAGTCAGTAGAGCGTCCACTTCACAACCGGGAGGTCGTGGGTTCGAACCCCGGCTGCGTCATACCAAAAGTCGTTAAAAGACGGGAGTTGCTGCTACCTTGTTTGGCATTCAACAATAAAGGGATAGAGCAACGCCGATCTGGCGCTGCTCAGTGGCTGCCGGGCTCACGATCAACTGGGCAAAAAGAATTTCAATTTTTGGTTTAACTTAATAAAATTTGGAGTGCACTTTAAAAGTTTATTATTATTATTATTACCTTATGCCCATGTGTTACTTTTGATATATATATATTGAACTGTTTGTATTTATGTTATGTGTCTATATTTGCATGTTTTTTTAAGAGAATTGACATCAAAATTGAAAATGAAAAAGATATAAAAATTTGAAATTCATATTCTCAAAATAAAAGTCAATGTTTCAAAATACCTTCTTTTTCTAAGACATAAAATGTAACAATCATATGAGCTTATCAACCAATATACATGTATCTACTTATCTAGGAACACTTTCTCCCCCCTCCCCCAGAATAATAAACAGCTCTTTCATGTCTATTATTCATCAGGAACTTTTTTTAAATGAGTAGAGTCTGCAAAAATGATTATGCTAAAAATAATTAATTCCCAATATTCCATTTCTCCTTACGCCATACTACTCTTACTTCACAAGATGGCGCATGATATTAAAGGAATGAGCCAGTTCATAGTTCCAGTCTGAGCATGAGCAGATAAAGGTCATTCCAGAGCAAAATGTAAAATACACAGAGACAAAATACTGGATACGTGCTCATGAAAGTTATGTAATCATTATTCATTTATACACAAGTGGTGCACTCCATGATACACAGGTGGAAGTATTCTTTGAAAAGGGGAAACAAAGGCTATTTATATGTAGCACCTCCATCGCTGTAGGAGTGATTATTTCAAAATGTACAAAGTGGGACTTGTTAATATTTTGAAGATCTGTGGATATTCAGGGTCATTTGGGACTTGTGCTACCCATACTGTGAACTGGTCTTTTGAGCTCTGCCAAGTAAAGCCCCATCATAGCATAAAACTAGAACGTTGATTATCTAGAAATTTACAAAAATATGTTTTCACATTTTATTGTTTTGAAACATTTTGAAGGCTAATTTTTAACAACCTGATTCAACACATGTATTATGGAGTAGTGCCTCTTCACTGTGTGGTTAGCAAGCATTCATGTTAATTACTGGAACATGATGAAAACGTACACAACAAATTCATTACAAACATGCAATCAACATGATATCTACTATGATATCTACATGATATCTACTGTGATATCTACATGATATCTACTATGATATAAGAATCTGATGACTGCCTTTAAGTGCCAAGTAAAAAAAAAAATGTATTGCTTTTGATTTGAAGCAGGAAGGAAAGGTGCAACGCTCCTATAACTTCCTCTCTAAACTACTCTGCAGACCTCTCAAAACATTTAAAAATTCTGCACTCTATACTCCTAATTCTGGGCGTGTTTATACGAGGGAAGCATCAGGTCAATTATGAACTTGACAGCTGTTGCTTGGATCAGGTATATACAACATGGTTGAACCAGGCTTCCACTATTTTGAAAATGATTTGAGAAAACGATGCCATGTCCCATATAAACGAAAAGTGCTATAGCCCAGAGTGGTCTATAAGGGGTGTTTGAACATGTAATAGCGATTGGTTTGAATTTTGAACAGTAAAGGTTTGACTTTGAGTGTCTGCAAAAGGTTCATGACCACTCTCAACCAAAATTATTTCTGAAATATTGAATAAAATCTGTTTGAAAATGCTTCAAAATATGGCTCAGATTGCACCAGAGAGCATCTAAGAACTTTAGAGCCTTTTTAGACAAGACCTGGGGAGTGTTTTACAAAGACTAAGATCGACTTTAAGTTGGACTTAACTATGGCAGGCTGTTCATGGCACTGTTTGCTCTCACGATTATGATTATTAGATAATATTTCCTCCTTCAATAATGAATTGACAATGATTTGTACGTCCATTGAGAGATCAATGCCAGTAAATGGTGAGAGCAAACAGTGGCATGAACGGCCTGCCATAGTTAAGTCCAACTTAAAGTTAATCCTGGTCTTTGTGAAACACCCCCCTGCACTCGAGTCTATACTCTGGGCGTGTTTATACGAGGGAAGCATCAGGTCAATTATGAACTTGACAGCTGTTGCTTGGATCAGGGATTACAACATGGTTGAACCTGGCTGGCTTCAACAATTTTAGAGAAAATGATGCGATGAATCATAAAACATTTTTCTATAGCCAGGGTGGTCCATATTAGAGGTGTTTAAATATGTAACAGCGATAGGTTTGAATTTTAAACAGTAAAGGTTTGACTTTGAGTGTCTGCAAGAGGTTCACGATCATTCTCAACCAAAATTATTTATGAAATATTGAATACAAATGTGTTTGAAAATACTTTAAAATATGGCTTAGATCGCACCAGAGTGCATCTAAGAACCTTGGAGCCCTTAGACAAGACCTGGGAGCATTTCACAAAGACTAAGATCAACTTTAAGTTGGACTTAACTATGGCAGACCGTTCATGCCATCGTTTGCTCTCACCATTTACTGGCATTGGTCTCTCAAGGGACATACAAATCATGGTTACAAATCTACAGAATTTACATTTTTTTGGTGGTTCATTATTGAAGGAAAAAATATTATCTAAAGATCATAATGGTGAGAGGGACAAATGGCATGAATGGCCTGCCATAGTTTAGTCCAACTTAAAGTCGATCTTAGTCTTTGTGAAACACTCCACTGGAGTTAGGCCATAAGGGATTTCTTGCTTCGCATACATTGCTTCATACTCCAATTTTGCAATACATGTTTGAATTTTTATTGGTGGACCAACCTGCTCTAGCATTATATTAATTCATGTCTACCGGTAATCAATACCCTTTACATCTTAAAAAAAGAAATCAGGAGTTCACAAATAAATATTTACCATTTTGAGCAGCCCTGATTTATGGTAGAATTCTATTTTCACGTCATCTCGTATGGGCAATGCGTGGGGCAGCTCAAACTCAACACAGCTCAGCCCTTTCTTGACCCCCTGAAAGAGAAATAAAGATTATTCAGAAAAGAGTAATAAAATTACTGCCATAATTTTGTGAGCAAGTTCAGAATCGACAAAACTCTACCACAAGGCTTGTGTTCTCTGCTCCACTTCATACTTATACATGCATACACAGGTGGCCCGAATGGTATTAAATGGCTTTCAAGATCCTACTAAAGAGTAATCCAGCCTTTGTAATAAGTTCATTTGTATGAAAGCAAGAAAAATAGGGGGGAAAAAAATGGCGAAAGTTTGAAATTAATCTGACCGATAATAAGCAAATTATGAATGTCAGATATGAAGAGTTTAACCATGGTGTTGTTTTTTTTACATGTAAACGAATGGCAACTACGCGCAACAAAGTCCTGACGTACATTATATTCACTTAGGTCTGTGTTATTAGATACAAAATTGTCAAGCATATTACACTTTACATCATCATGATTAAGCCGCCACGGTTTTGTCGCGCCATATCTGATAAGCACTTTACGAGGTTAAAAGTCAAGAATGAACAAAAGCCGTAATTAAACAAAATACATGGTAACTTCAGGAACAAAGCCTCCCCAAAAAAATTAACTGGGGGGTGTTTTATGAAACAATTAGTCGGTGGTTTTCACCGACTACGGTATTATCATGTTCACCGACAATTCTTTTGTCACCGACTATTTTCCAGGACTGTGATTGGTCAAATTTAGTCAGCGCTGACTAAATTGTCGGTGAACATGATATTAGTCAGTGAAAACCACCGACTAATTGTTTCATGAAACGCCAAGTGGATGGCAAAATTAATGGGTGACAAAAGAACTTTCTCTCTACTAGCATCTATGGCTGATGTGCAATCATGGTGTAAAAACAATTAAGTTTCGGTCATCATCATCACCAGAAATGGCAATTTTCTTAATTGGGGATCGGAACACAACAATCAAATAAGCGTAGCGACTAAAATTTCCTTTCCACTAGCAGAAACAAAGGTTACCTTTAAGATAGAAAAAGAAAATACTCTTTCTCTTATTGCTTTCAATTATTCAAACTATATCAATTACTAATAATTATATGACATAAAAGTATTTGCTTCTGATCACATGTGCCTTATATATGAGGGTTAATATTAGTTACACATTCATGTATATGTTTACCTAATATTCATATTTTGTTTTTTAAAGGACCAGCCAATGTGGAGTGCCTCTCGACAGAATTTTTTTATAATTCTTTTTAGGTTATCCCAAGGCATTGGCTGGTGCTAAATATCATACTGTTAATGTTATATCATTTTATTAAACCTGTGATGTTTTCTATGTATTCTTATCTATCTTGCCTGTAAATAACAAACTAAAAAAATAAAAAGATATATAATAAATGAATAAAAAACAAAGAGAACATGCTAACCTTCACAGCTTCCTGAGTATGAATTTTGACCTTGTGTTGGTGGACCGTGAAGAAAGGGCAGCATGTTCCACTGCTCATCATAGGTATCGTATAGAGTTGCACGCGTTTCAGAAGTACCGTTTGTGTTTTGTATAGTGTGTTGCGTTTCACCAGCTCCCCGTAGTACTGTACATATCTCCTCTGACTTGGAATGGTAACTCCCTGGTCAAAAAAAATAATAATTCATGAACGTTTACATTCACTTCATGACATCTAGAAATAATTCTCATGAAAATCAAAATATTGTAGTTCTTCTAGTCATGCCTGGAGACAATAATAATAATAATAAAAATTGGATTTATATAGCGCTTAATACGGTATATCGTCTCTAAGCGCTTAACAAATATTATTACCCCGGTCATCGGATTCATTCACGCATAATGTGCACCATCTCCACTCCACTGGGAATATTCCTACTCTTGGGTATTGAGCGGTAAATGTAAATCAAAGTCTTGCTAAAGGACATTAGTGCCATGTCGGGGATCGAACCATGACCTTTGAATTTCAAGTCAAGTGCTTGAACAACCCATCTACAACACTTCTACAATAAGACCAATGCCTCCACTTGATACAGACTCTCTTTCACACAGACAAACATTCTGTTCCAGAGTTTAGACTGTCAGCCTTTTCACACACAGCTAAAATTCATCGTTTCCAGAGATGATTAGAATCACTCAACAGTTTTAAACACGTTTATAGAAAATTTTTCCCAGTGTGAACATCGTTTATACGATGTTGGGATAGATACGAAGTCGCGATGCATACGCCCCTAAAAGCAGGCTGCCGATACGAAGTTCGTATCTAAAGAGCTTGACATTTTGTGTGTGAAAGGTTTTTCGTGTTTAAACATGTTTAAACTGGATGGAGCGACCGCTCTGTTTGATATGACCTGACCTTCAATGCGCAATGGCACTACTGCGCATTTTACGAGCAGTAGTTAATGACGAAACGATTAACGATCGCAACGAAATTTCGGTGTGTGAAAGGCTCGTGATTAGTTTAAACACGTTTCAAACACGTTTATACTAATCATGTTTATAGAATTTTAGCTGTGTGTGAAAAGGCTGCATATCATGTAATGTTAGTGACTTTACCTTTCCATCTGTAGTTCTGATCTTGCCATAATATTCCATGGATTCTGCTGCCGTAAGACACCGACCCTGATGGAGTAACAGGGCGCAGATCATTACCCCTGTCCTTCCCTGAAATCAAAATCAACGAAACATCCAAATTATTCATTATTCACTCAAGCATTCATTAATAATTTGTTACATATATATTAATAATTCAATAAAATATTATCCAAGAAGTCATGACTGCGCAATATCTTTTCAATATTTTAGGATTTGAAACGTGTTAACACATGTACTTGTAGAAAGTGAAAAAGAGTTATTTTTCTACAATACACTGGCCTACATTAAAGGCTACATTATTTTTCTCTCTCTCTTAATTTCCAACAAATGATTTTCCTACATAATACTTGTCTACATTCAAGACAACATTCTTTTTTTTCTCTCTCAAAATTTTCAACAAATGATTTTCCTACATTACACTTGCCTACATTTAAGGCTAAATTCTATTTCTTCTAAATTTCCAAAAAATTATTTCCCTTCATTACACTTGACTACATTTAGGGCTACATTCTTTTATTCTCTCTCTCTAAAGTTCCAACAAATGATTTTTATACATTATATTTGCCTTTACACTCAAGGTTACATTCCTCTTTTTCTTCAAATTTCCAACAAACGATTTTCCAACATTACACTAGCCTACATTCAAGGCTACATTTTTTTTCCTCAAAATTTCCAACTCATGATTTTCCTGTATTGTATAAGAGGATGTCATTTAAGACACACTTCTGCAAAGATCCCCCCCCCCCCCAATGTGTTTGAAGACAAATATTGATAAAAGAATACATAATTTGGGTTTTCTGTTTTTATGCAGAAAACCTCGATTTTGTATTCTTTTATCAATATTCCACATTTGTTTTGAAAATCCTTGTAGAAATGTGTCTTAAATGACATCTTAATTCACATTATGATACAATTAAAGCGAAATTTTGCCTTCAAATTTTTGGGGCTCCCAGCAAATGTAGAGAGGCTTCAAGTTGGAAGCGAGTAATGTAGCGAGACAATGAATTTAAATACACCTGAAAGTGTAATGGTCAGAAACCGAAGTGTTTCAGACCTATTATACGCTGGAAATCAACCTCGCTCTTCCTCATTAGAGCATTAAATTCCAATTTGGCTGCTACATGGCCATCACGTTGTGGAGTTAGTCGTTTTAATGGTCCCGTCTCATTTGCACGAGCTCAAACTTTACAAGGACGACATCTTTATTTCCCATCATACCCACCTTCCCATAATGCATTTCCCAGTTATAGGAAGCTCATTAGAGTCATAATGGGGTGTTTTTCCCTCATTAGCTCAGCTCATTAGCTACTTTTGCAGGTATGCCCCATTTTCTACTCAAGATTTTTTCTTAATTAGAGGCGGTGTTAAAAAAACCTAGATATTTCCATTTCATATGGGATAATACTCATACAACACCCAATCACACTTTACAAATTACATCCCGTTTCATGTTAAAAGATCTGAAACACTATACATGTATTTAAGCATCAAAGAATGAGAGATCCTCCATTTATTTAATCAAACTTGTCATCATTTACGATGCACAATGTATATCAATGTGCATCCACAGAAAAGATGAACATGAAATACAACTCGATGGCAGTATTTATTTTATCAAAATGAATGGCAAACGATGTCTGGCAAGAGCGTGAGATTGGCATGATAATAGCATCTGTTTGGAGCCAGAAGGACGTTAACTCATATGCCTTAACACAGAGTTAACCCCCTCCTGGCTCTGAACAGACACCAGGGGGGTGTTTCACAAAGATCCTAAGTAGAACTTAACTCAAAGTTGGACTTGAAAATTATGGAAAGCAATTAGTATCTTTGAAAATATTTTGTAAAAGTTATTGTGAAAGGCATAAAATGTTACTTCAAATCATTCATATTTTCTATCATCAAGGAGATTTCATGTTCTGGATGTGGAATTTATAAAAAGTCTAAAATACTTGAATTTCTGCTTTTGAATACATTTCATTTTAAGGCTCTAATGGCTGTCCATAATTTCTAAGTCCAACTTAGGATCTTTGTGAAACACCCCCCCTGGTATTCAGTATTCGAAAGCCATATTACAGGCAAACGGAGAGGGGAAGAAAATATATTTAAATGTGTAGGACTGTCTTTAATACTGAATTCAGACAAGTGCTCTGGACCTGGTACTTGATGTACATGTACCTGTGTAGAATGAATCCATACAATTAGGAGTAGATTCATTTCATATATTGTGGCTTCTTCTGATTATATTGAAAAGCCATATAACAGGCAAACGGAGTGGAGAATATATATATATATACATGTATATCCAAATGAGTAATCCTGTCTCTGCATTAAGACAAGTGCCTTGGATTTGCTTGATGTACCTGAGTGGAATGAATCCATACAATTCGAAGTAGATTCATTTCATATTGTGGCTTCTTCTAATTTAGATTAAAAAGCCATATAACAGGCAAACGGAGTGGGGAAAATATACAAATGAGTAATCCCGTATCTGCATTAAAGGTAATACAAAGTTTTGGTATGGGGTCATGAATTTGGTTCAAATGAACATATTGGAAGCATATACGTTCCTACAATATTCAGTGATCGTTGTCACGGTCGAAAATCGACTCTAAAGTTATGAAATTGTAAATAGTAAACACTTTATGTTGAATAGCTCCCTCTCAAGGTCAAGATATTAATTAACCTATAAAACAATGTTTATTGACTAAAATCGACCAATTAGCCATTCTCGTTCAGAAATTATATACCACAACTACATACTCTGAGATTTTCATGGTCGCAGCTACCATTGTACGGCCGTAGGAGCTATTTGAAATTTATCAAAATTTACCGGAAGCACCAGTAAATCTTTATATTCAATTTTTCTCGAAAGCAGAAGTGCTTTAGTGGCTAAAATTTCTTGTGTTTTTAATACATCCACAGGGGCATTCAAATATATCAAAATTGTAAAGAATCACATCCACCCATTTTTCAAAATTTCCCAAAACTTTGTAATACCTTTAAGACAAGTGCCATTGGCCTGCTGTATATGTACCTGTGTGGAATGAATCCATAAATGAATCCATACAATTTGGAGTAGATTCATTTCCTAAGAATGTGTGGCTTCTTCTAATTTATATTAAAAAGCCATATACAAGCAAATGGAGTGGTGGGGGGGGGGGGGTATATATATAAATATCCAAATGAGTACCGGGTAATCCTGTACAGGTTATGTATCTGCATTAAGACAAGTGCCACAGACTTGCTTCATGTACACATACATGTATATGTACCTGTGTGGAATGAATCCATAGATGAATCCATACAATTTGGAGTAGATTCATTTCATAAATATGTGTGGCTTCTTCTAATTTAGATTAAAAAGCCATATAACAGGCAAGCAGAGTGGGGAAAAATATATATATATATATATATACAAATGAGTAATCCTGTCTCTGCATTAAGACAAGTGCCATTGGCCTGCTGTATATGTACCTGTGTGGAATGAATCCATAAATGAATCCATACAATTTGAAGTAGATTCATTTCATAAATATGTGTGGCTTCTTCCATGGAAAAAGCCATATAACAGGCAAGCAGAGTGGGGAAATATATATATATATATATATATATATATACAAATGAGTAATTCTGTCTCTGCATTAAGACAAGTGCCATTGGCCTGCTGTACATGTATATGTACCTGTGTGGAATGAATCCATAAATGAATTCATACAATTTGGAGTAGGCTCATTTTATGAGTATGTACGGCTTCTTCTAATTTTATCGGTTAAAATAATGAAATTCTCAACTCGTCATTGTAGACAATCGGTACTTAAAAATAGGTTCAAAAATATATAAATGACTAGTCCTGTCTATGCATTCAGACAAGTGCTCCGGGCCTGGTACTTGATGTACCTGAGTGGAATGAATCCATACAATTCAGAGTAGATTCATTTCAAAATGATGTATGGCTTCTTCTAATTTCATGGATTAAAGTAATGACATTCTCAGCTCATCATTGTATGTTAATAATCTTCAGATATCAAATTCATAGTAAAGTAAAATTCATAAAGAGATGTGATCAACCTCAACTCTTCATAACATAGGGCCCTGACATCATTTTTGTTTATAGTATCTCAATTATAAAAGAACATGTTACTCCTATGACAATGAAAGCTATGATACTCAGTAATGAGTTCATGATTCACGGATAAAGAATGATTATCATTGAAAAGTGTATAATTGGTAGTGGTTGCGGCTTTATGTGAAGTAAGAGGGGGTGTAGCATGATGAGACTACGTGTCTTTCCCGTGGCCTGACTCGGGGCAAATCGGGTATAATACGACTACAGACGACGCGACCGCAGTATTCACGTGCGCGCAACATATGCGAAACCGAAGCGTGAGGAGAACTTCGGTCTGTTTCACCAACTCTAACACGCCCTGACCGTTAATCAAGTCCATTCGTGTACGTGCAGTTGTCCTAAGACGCAGGAGATGGGGTTAACCAGTATTTGCCATGCTACACACCCTTTAACAACGTATGGATTTGTCCTTGACCCTTTGATGTCCGAAAATATCTTTTGACTGAGGCTGAGTTTATGCTTGATTTTGAAGGTAGAATGAGAGATTTGTAACGCTCATCGTAAATGCTCATCGTAATCGCAGTTCCACGATGTACTGTTTATGCTCACTTCTCCGGCTCCTTCAGGCATTTCTCCCTGTGTTGCCTTAATTGGTCTTCCAGCTGGATTCGCAAACCTTCACTGTGCATGCTATGCAGATCCACTAGAGGTCAGTGCGTTGACCTCATTTAAACGCGTTTACAAATTGTAAACGCATCTTTTTGTGAGTTTACCATCGGTGATCGTGATCGCCGTTTTTCGGTGATTCTACAAAAGTGAGCATGGACGCAACCGTGTTTTAAACTAAACGCGTAACAGATGCCTGATTCTGGCCAGAAAATGAACACGCCCTTAAATACAATCAAGATAAGCGTGATTCCTTACCTTGCCTGCCTTACAATGAATGGCTGCCACATTGTCTTTGTCTTCGGCCAGCCACTGCATGACATCTTCACAAAATGGCCGAATAAGTTCTATCCTAGGAGGATTATGATCATCGAATGGATAGTGGGCCACTCGATGATCAAATCGCGACGTATCATAATTCCTCTCTGAGCACCTATTAACATTAACAGAATGAAAATAAGAAAAAAAATCAGTTTATCCAGTAATTATGAATCAAATTTTAGTCTGCATGTTAAACTATCGCATTTGTTGTTACCTATGCTCAAGTTAAATGTTCTACTCTCTACCCATCTGTATCTTATTGATGTTTTTAATTTGTAATCTTGTACTGACATGCAAATGAAACAAATTTCCAATCATTGGACAATAAATTTTAATATGAATATGAATATGAAAACAAATAGGAAAAAAAATTGTATTTATTAATTTCATTATGCCTTTGACTGAAAGGTACATGTAAGCTTAAGATCTACTAAAAATTGAAAGTACATATATTTTAACAAAATTAAATGAAACTAACACAAACTGTTCAACACAACAAATATATGTCTGCCAAACATTATGTTGTTTTAATTTATTTGCTCTATAAATTCAAGGAACGATAGTAAAATTGAGCTAGTAAGTTTCAACCTACATGCATTAACTGCGTCTTAGTTTATGTGATTTTCAGGACATTTGTAATTTTGTATAGTAGTTTATATTTCAATGATTTACATTAAATTCCTGCATCACATTCATAAAAAAATAAGATTTACATTACACCAGTCTCTCTTGAAATCCAATTTTATTCCCAAACTTTCAGGAACCTAGATTAGCTTTAAGAAATATCTACTTGGAAAATAAAATTATAGTCATGATAACAAGCAAGTATAGCCCTAACTTCACAGATGAACTTATAGTCAATACTTATCCACTTCTAACCCACTTCAAAATGGGTAGAGAAGTCTTAATCGAATCTAGACTTTCAAATTTGTAATTGACCATACAATTATAAGTGGATATGTCCAGCCTAAAACCACTTTCTGCTCACTTTTGGCTGCAAAATGAAAGTAGTATGACGTTTAAATAAGCTCATTTGCCATACTCACAGGTTGTATACTTTGTAATGATCCTGATGATGTGAGTTCAGAAACCTGAAAATAAAGCAAAGAAAAGGACAGTTTCATTTAATTTTCCACAAGATTACATAATAATTATAAAAACTAGTATTTAGTACGCTATGTATCACAGTGTTCACAAAAAATAATCATACATAACATACAACTGAATTTAATCAGAATAGGTACAGACATTTATAGTGTATGTACACTGATTTGATTACACAAGATTACATGATAACATGATTTGATTACACAAGATTACATGATTTTATTATATACATGTAATTTGACCGTGCAATTCTTTAGTGTTAACACAATCATATATACTAGCAGGACCCGTGGAAAATCCACGGGATTCTAGGGGAGGGGAAGGGGGGGGGGGCGGTAAATAGAAAGAGGCCTATGTGCTATCGAAAATAAAATTTGATTATATTTCTATAGGGTCTAGACGATTTTTTATAATATACGCTGTTTGACCATGAATGGCGCACCATAATACCCGTTTTAATGCATTGATTTGATGAAGAAACTGTATCATAGTAAAAGTATTTTATCCAGCATGGCTATATTTTTAAACGACCATCTGAATTTTTTTGTGAAAACTTTACTTTGAAAAATGATTATCGAAATTCAGCATAAAACTATACATGGGCAGAATAATCACAATCTAAGCTCAGGTTTCATACCTCTATAGTCACGAAACTATATTGAGATAGGGGCAATAACAGCAATTTCAGTGTTGTCGAGTCTCAGCTCACTCACAGTCACAGTTCCGACAGTGCTCGGCAGCAGTGGCGCACTGCACTGTCCGTGCGTGGACTCGAGCCCCACGGCAGCTAGCTTGCAACTGGACTGTCAATTACGATGAATTTCTTGTGAAAACTTTACTTTGAAGAATGATTCTCAAAATTCAGTAAACATGGACAGGATAATACTAAAGTAACCCTGCTTGCATACCTCTATTCACGTAAACTATATACAAATCACGGCAATCATCATAGAATCAGAGTCGAAGCGACTGACCTGTGCGTGTGACGGTCTAGGTGGAGGGAGGGTGGGGGGGGGGTAAATAGAAAGAGGCCTATGTGTATCGAAAATAAAAATTGTTTATTTTTATATAGGGTCTAGACGATTTTTATAATATACGCCTTTTGACCATGGCGCACCGTAATACCCGTTTTAATGCATTGATTTGATGCAAGAACTGTATCATAGTAAAAGTATTCTATCCAACTAATTGAGCTAGGCTATGTTTTTAAACGACCGTCTGATTTTCTTGTGAAAACTTTACTTTGAAAAATGATTATCGAAATTCAGCATACAGCTATACCTGGCCAGAACAATCACAATCTAAGCTCAGATTTCATACCTCTATAGTCACGAAACTAAATTGAAATCGGGGCAATAAGAGCAATTTAAAAGTGTTGTCGAGTCTACTCAGCTCAGCTCACACACCTGCACAGTCACAGTTCCGACAGTGCTCGACAGCAGTACAGTGGAATGCACTGGCACTGTCCGTGTGTGGACTCAAGCCTCACTACAGCTACCTTGCAACTGCAACTGAACCGTCAGTTACGATGAATTTTTTGTGAAAACTTTACTTTGAAGAATGATTGTCAAAATGCAGTAAACATGGACAGGATAATCACAAAGTAAGCCCTGCTTTCATACCTCTAATTCACGTAAACTATATATAAAAATCACGGCAATCATAGAATGAAAGCCGAATGAAAGTCGCAAACCGACTGTGCGTGTGAAAATCATCGCATACATTATACACGTACGTTCGTACACACAGCAGGTCCGTCTGGCCTACAAAGCATATCCTATAGAAAGACGCATAACACGGGTAAGCTCAACCCGTTGAGCGTACATATTGGCTACATCCCATCACCTGAGTGAGTCATCGGTTAATGTGTATTTCTCTGACACGCTACAAAGCATATCCTATAGTAAGAGGTCTAACTCGGGGTACGCCCCACCGTTTTAAGATGAGATTTGCTACACCCGTTGACGCGAGTGGATTCTCGTCTATTGTGTGTCTCTTCGTCTCGCTTTGATAATTAGACAAAGGGCGGGAGCACGCCTTGTCGACTCGCTCTCGCGGGTTCGTCGCCTCCTCGCAATCCACGACGCCCGCCGTGCTTTCGTCCGCCCGTCCTCCCCGAAACCCCGAAACCGCGTTTGACGGCATGGACGTCGATCGCGGGGTCGAGGTGGCACGCGGGTTACGGGAGACAGGCCTCGTGGAATTGTGCCACCGTCCCCGCGCCACGGCGGAGGCGAGCGGGGTCGGGGAAAGACGTTTTTGAGGAACCGTTTTGTACCCGTTTGGACCCCCCGCGGCGATTTTGCGTATTAATAATATAGATATATATGATGTAACTATATCATCCTGAAATAATTCATACAAAATGTGGGTGTACCACAATGATCTATCATAGGACCTGAAGTATTCTTTTTTTTAAGTAGATAAAACTTTTAACAATTCTTTCATCATAATAAACTTTCTTAAAAAGAATGGCATACACGTAGATACCAAATTTAAAAGGTAAATGATCCATGCTACAGGTATTAAGAAAATGTGGGTTTTCATGTACCACAAGGGTCTATCATAGGACCTGAAGTATTCTTTTTTTTAAAGTTAATAAAACTTTAGCAATGTGAAACAGCATATTGAACTTACTTGACTACATGTTCCATATCATTTCTGTACATCCTCTCTAAGCTCTCCGCTGGGAATCCCATGGCAATAATGTTGGGACATATATCTACAACGGTACAGGTCAAGGAAAACAACACTTCTCGCTTCTTAATTGCATCTCAACAGTAATTATCACATCATTGTCTTCAATCTTCATTTAAATGTGCATTCATACCATATATTTGGCCAACAACCCACAATAATGTTGGGACATATACAGCACGGTACCGGTCAAGGAAAACGCTCCTCACTTCTTAATTGCACCTCAACGGTAATTATCATATCATTGTCTTCAATCTTCATATAAATAAGCATTCATACATATATATTTGGCGAACAACCCACTAGATCGATAGCCCAATCAGACCATCATTGATAGTGACTGACAGAACAGAGAATCACATTAGAAAATAAATGTACAGAGGAAGGGATAGAAAAAGATGAAAGGAGGAAAACCAAAATAACACAGAAGGAAAGAGAGAAATAAATAAGAATTAGAATTGACAAAGAATATGAAAGAATGAGTAAAACTTCATACATACACCTGTACACAGTAACTAGCAAGAACATATGATAGAAACAGACATTAAATAGAAAAAAGTAAAGGAAGACAGAAAAGAAGCGGCTAGTGATACTTCTTATTTCATTCACCTGTTACGAATAAATTAGTGCTGTAACATCACGGATATCTCCAATTCCGTTTAACCGCCAGTCAAAACCGGACGGTTTTCGGTTAAACGATTAAAAAAAAAAAAAAAAAAAACGGGAAAACGAAACCGTCCAATTGAAAACGGAGTCCGCCATGGGCGGTCGGATACCGGCCAGTTAAACGTTTGACTACAGCACTAGAATAAATGAATCTCAATAGTATGTATGCAATTTGCATTCTGACTATCAAAAATAATTATTTGTATCAGGTGAAGGAAACAATCCGTATCGAAGCACTTTGATATACATAAATTTAGTTCCATCACGACAATTGTCAATGATTACTATTTGTTTTTATAATGTAGCATTATGTATCATTACCAGTATGTAGCATTGCTATTAAGACCAAGTATCAAGACCTTTGACATCTTTGTAAGATCATCATTTTTAATCATGATTAGATGCATTAACAAAATTATGATAGCTAAAATTTGAAAATCTTGCTGTAAGTTATCCTAAATTGACCACTCCAAATATCCCTGCACAAATATTTCATAAACAGTGCAGAACACAAAGAATAAGAATATCATTATATAAATGTAGTAGGTTTTACATCACCATACAAGCTGATACCTACGTGTACAGTGTACAGTACATGTATTATAAGCAGCATCTAAGAATATAATTGTTTACTATGGGTGACAATGTAGTCATCTGCCTGAAAGTCGGGCAGAGGTGGAGACTGTAAATCTTGCATCGGTCACTGGCTCTACAACGGAAGAAGAGCTGTTGATATCAATATGATGAGACTATGGGACAAAGATCAAAGTTAATTGAACTCATTTCCACTGTATTTAAGCATCCACAATCTTTATCAACTTTTATATTGGTTTCCCTCTTATTAAGTTGTAGTAGATTTCTGTTTTGATGAACCTGTTCATTGACTAAAACCAATAAAACATGTTTTTTCTGACTTGTTTTCAATTATAAGATCAAACACGCTATCTTTATCTACTGGGTGCAAGCCTAAAATCTCTTTACAGCGATTGAAACTTCAATCAAGAAAGCCTAAAATTCAAAGCTATTGTCCTAAGGCAGTACTAATGAATATTAATAAGCGAGAATGAGTCAGGAGAGCTGAGGTATTTGTTTCCAGTTCATTGTGAATTTGCCATGGACCAATAATGGCCTGGTGGTACTGTCACTGCCCGGCAAGCAGTAAATGGCAGGTTCAAATCTGACTGTGTACAGACTACAGAGTACAGGGCCTATGCAGTACTGGCACTGTAAATGCTGTTATTTTTGCGTGAAAATTTTTTCGCGCTAAGCGACCCCAAAACATATTCGCGGGTTCTTAAATTTTAGTTGCACGCAATTCAGCCCGCGCAAAACACGCAAAAGAAGTCATGCTCATTTTGTGGACACCGACTTTTGCACGAAATCCGCGAATATTACCACGTTTACAGTATGCTATCAGCCTAGTCTCAAATTGCTGACACCTTTACGTAAAACGAAGGACAATGGTTTGTCGCCTGCAAACTAACAATTGCCAGGGCTGTCGTCTAAATCATTTATAACTAAGCACTCTAGGAGGCTGTTCACACCGCAATGAGATAGCGCGGTCTATCGTAGCACCCCCTTTTTTCTAGCGCGCGCTAAACCGCGCTATCTCTCGTGGACCACCCCCAAGAGGTGCTCCAGTGGCACGCCGTTTTGGCTCGCCACGGCTCGCTGTTGGACAAACCGAAACGACGTTGTACCTTCCAAACCGCAGAGATAGCGCGGTCTAGCGCGCGCTATCTCTACCGGTGTGAACAGCCTCAAGGAGAAATGAGAGTACAAGGAATTAATGAAGTACTCATTTACAAGTAATCATTACTTGCACCTGTATCTCCTTTCTAATGCGAACATCTCCTTCCTCATCTTCTTCTCAACCCAACATGTACACTGTAGCTCATCCTATTGTATTATTTCTGTACCCTGGGGGGTGTTTCACAAAGATCCTAAGTTGAACTTATCTCTAAGTTGGACTTAAAATTTATGGGAAGCCATAAGCATCCTTGAAAACATTTTGTAATTTTTTTTTTAGAAGGCATAAAATGTTGATTAAAATCATTCATATTTTCTATTATCATGGGAGATTTCATGTTCTTGATGTGGAATTGATGAAAAGTCTAAAATACTCCAATTTTTGCTTTTGAATAGATTTCATTTTAAGGCTCCAATGGCTGTCCATACTTTTTAAGTCCAACTTAGAGATAAGTTCAACTTAGGATCTTTGTGAAACACCCCCCTGGTCTCTCACTTCTGTTTCGGCATTGTCTATGCTTTGTTATTTGTATTGTGGCTGTGTTCTCCTTTCTTTGTCATGTAAAATACTCTCTTGTCCCGTTTTTTATCTCTGTTGGCATCCCCTTTTTGTCCTATTTCTAGTTCCTTTTAGTAGTTACAAATTAGTCCAATTGACATACTCATTATTCCTAACTATCATTTGAGGGGTTCACAATTGTACAAGCATTGCTTTTCAATAGACCCTAGCTGTTTCCAATTTGTATTCCTTAATTTTGTAAATGATTATAATTGATTTTTAATGTTTTGTTGGAAACAAAAATATAATTGAATTGAAGTGAATTGAATTACATGCATACCGTACCAGTTGTAGTCTGCAGCACAGACTCTGATATGACACTTTACAACAATTCATTAAGCCTTGAGCAGAGCCTAGATCTGTAAATTTCTGGCTGCGTCAGGAGTGGCAGCTACAGTACAGATCTCATTATAGTCTCATTTTACAGACACTGTTACGCACAACGACTGACAAGGGATTGTGCATGCACACTACATGTCAGGTGTGTTTATAGTATTTAAAGATAAAGTTGAGTACTGGTCATGCAATTGCATTCACATTGCGAAAGAAACGGTGTGGAATCGATCAGAAAAGGTTGATCATCTATGTAGCATATAAGTATTGGTGTGTACTGCAAGGTTCTGGAATCATCAAAATGAAATGTGGCCCAGTCTTGGTAAAGTTACAAGCACCATACACAGAATATGGGACTACACAAATGGTGTCGGGGTTACCTACATGTACCTTGATTTCCTTATCTTTCTATGCTCATTACTCAGCCAGTATACATTTTTCTACCAAAATTGTTTGGCAAATGACGTTTATTTGTAATCTTGAACATTCAGTGCAAGTTTCGTTTGATTCTGTGAGAATTCATTTTATACTTTTACCAGAACTCAAGTTTATCTTTAAGCCATACAAGATCATGTTAACTATTAAAATGAAGGTTGGTTCGGTTTTCACCTCCCTAAGATTGTTAATACATGTATGAACTCATACGATCTGAATTTGCCATTTTTATAATGTAATCAAATTTAATGTACAAAGTGCCACGTTACAAATTATTTCATTCACATTACATCACAAAAAATTTGATTACCGGTACATCACGAAAATTATCTAACGCGAGTTACACGACCATTGTTGAGAATCATATGACTTCAATTGCGACCCTTGTCGAGAATCTTAAGGGTCTTTTTTTCAATCTCTTTTGCACACTTCGTAAGTTTGTATTCACATTTTCCTTGTACGGAATCTTTCAACTCTGCCTAAGTTCTATGAGATTGATTAATAGAGATATACAGTGTGTGCAATTCAACGACTAGGGCAGATTCTACCAGATTGCATCGTGAACAAATGGCTTTAGGTGAAAGTAGACAATACAGGACATTTCCACACATTCAGACGATCAGAATGCGCCGCATAGCTACATGTATGTATACAAAAAGAATTATATTTTTCATAGTCTGAATGACGTATAAAGAATCATCGCATTTAAAACGAAAGGTAGTAGAGCAAAGTGCGCGTTTGAGCATCGTTTCAACCAAAGACCCCAAATACAGAATCAGGGTCTACATATAGTAAATGTAGCTTATCATGATCACACACTGGTGATTGGCTAAATAACCTCTTCAAAACTTGTTTCTTTGTACGATGTTTTTTGTGTGATCTGTATGCCCCTTTCGCTATACAATGTCTTTTACATGTTTATTAAAGTTTCCTCCTCTAACGTTTCTTTATACAACGTTTCTTTATAGTTTAAACAACAGTTCTTTATACGTTTCTTTATACATTTTTTCTTTATACAAAGTTTCTTTATAGTTTATACAACCTTTCTTAAAGAACGTTTCTTATATGTTTCTTTATAACTTATACAACGTTTCTTTAATATGTACATGTACATGTATAGTACATCGTTTCTTTATGCAACATTTCTTTATAGTTTATACAACGTTCTTTCATACAAGTTTTGTACACGAGATTGAAGAAGACTAGCAGCCTTTTCACACAAAGCTAAAATTCATCGTATCTAGAGATGATTAGTATAAACGTGTTTAATTCAACAGTTTTAA